CAGAAATCTAAGTTCATAGCTACCTTAAAACTGAATTATTGGAACACAACCTTTTTGTAAGTTGGGGACTTTCAGTACGTAATTGGGAAAATTCCAAAATACAGGGTTTTTTGTTGTTATTAAAATTTGTTTTCCAAAATGTATTCGTTTTGTTCTCATAGACCTATTAAGTTCCTTTAGGAGTACCGGCGGCACAGTGGTTAAGCACTAGGCTGCTAACTGAAAGGTTGGCAGTTCAAACCCACTAGCAGGTCTGTGGGAGAAAAGACCTGACGATCTGCTCCTGTAAAGATTTCAGCCTAGGAAATCCCATGGGCAGTTCTACTCTGTTATATAGGTTGCTATGAGTCAGAATTGACTTGATGGCACACAATGACAACATGAAGTTCCTTGAGGGTAGGAATCAGATCTCATTCATTTCTGTGTCTGTCTTAGTCATCTAGTGCTGCTGTAACAGAAATAGCACAAGTGGATGCCTTTAACAAAGAGAAATTTATTTTCTCACAGTCTAGTAGGCTAGAAGTCCAAATCCAGGGCGTTAGCTCCAGGGGAATGCTTTCTCTCTCTTTCGGCTCTGGAGGAAGATCTTTCTCATCATTCTTCCCCTGGACTAGGAGCTTCTCCACGCAGGAACCCTGGGTCCAAAGGAGGAGATCTGCTCCTTTCTTAGCAGTATGAGGTCCCGCTGTCTCTATGCTTGCTTCTCTCTTTTATGTCTCAAAAGATTGTCTTAAAAGACAATCTTATCTTATAGATCTCATCAACATAACTGCCCCTAATCTGTCTCATTACCATAATAGTGATAGGATTTACAACACATAGGAAAAGCACATCAGATGACAAAACGGTGGACAATCACACAATACTGGGAATCATGGCCTAGCCAGATTGATGCGCATATTTTTGGGAGACACAATTCAATGAATGATGGTGTCCCTGGCATAATTCCTGGCACACAACAGGTGTTCAGTAAATGTGTGAATAATAGATTCATTGAAATAGTGAAAAGATTGAACTTGGAGTCAGAAGGCTTGGGTTTTTTCCTCCCCCCTAATTCACTAGAGTTTTGTAGATTATGTAACATCTTTGAACCTCATTTTCATCAATTCATGGGTATACTGCTTATTCTGTTTATTTCACAGAGTTGAGAAATAGATAAAATATTTTGAAGTATCTTTTTTTTAATTAAAAAGTACCATGCACTTGTAAAAGTTACCAACATCTTTATTATATTTCTTAGACGTACTTGATAAAGAGCTCCATTATTAAGCAATTACCTAGAGGAGTATGGCAGAGACTGTTAGCTTATCATCAAAAATCCACTGTTCCTTCTTTTTCCTGGGCCTACAGCGGGACTGTTTCTTGGCTTCCTTTGCATTTAGGCATGATCATGATAGAATTCTAACTAGTAGAGTGAGCAGAAGTAATATGTGCCATTTACAGACACAGCCTATTAAAGCCTCTCATGAGGGCTCCTTCTAACTCCTTTCCTCTTCTCTCTGGCTGTAATGGAGCCACATGTTAAAGATATCAAAGCCTCCTTGAACCTAGTATGGCTACATGGAGAAGGACCACTGGCTAACTTCTTCACCCATCCGGTTCTGCTACATGAGAACAAATAAACTACTGTGTTTGAACAATTATACATTTTAGGGTCCACTCGTTAAAGCAGTCTGACTACTTCAGCTGTTTTAAGGAGCATGCTAATACTGCTCTACTTTTTCTTTAGAGAAGCAGAATCCTCTTATAGCAGCCCTACAAACAAAGGGAAGGTATTACTGTGTTTTCGCAAATAACGCACCCATGTAAATAACATGCGCACCTGTGGAAATGATGAAATTAAAACAGTTCTGACATGGTGCGCTCATGCGTATACTGCGCATGTCTTGTAACATTTCCAGAAGTGAATTTCAGCCTCGTTCACCAGTCCTCCCATATTATGGGTAAATCCTATTGTTCTGTTCATTTTCTTTAATCTTCTGCTTATGTGTATAAAGATAGTCCAGAAACGTTACTCTTGATTATAATTGTATAATAAAGAAATAAGCCATGCCGAAGAAGTCATGGATCGAGTTTGGTAGTGCCCTAGTAATTGGAAAATAAATAATCAAACTGTGTGTTTGTTTCTATTAATTTAAGTTGACAATTATAGCGCATTTGCTCAACCGTTGAATGAGAAAACCTTATCAGATCATCTTAAGTGAAACCATTAGGTTATGTTAGGTCTGCTTATTTCATACTTTAATTATGTCTTCTTAGTGTCAGTTGAAGTAAGCAACATGTAAAAAAAATTAACATAGCACACTTATGGAAAGCGGGGGTAGAGAGGTTGCTCGGTTGGCAAAAGTATAATGTGTGCGTTATTTGCGAAAAAATACGGTAACATACAGGTCTGTGATCCATGTGTATAGACTGTGGCCCAAGATGAAATTGAAGAGAGAATTATAATATTTAGTCATTTGAAAATTTTTGTTGTTGACTAGATTGAGAAAAGTTAAATAATGATGTTTACAAGTTTTTATTATTATTATTAAAGTTTAATTCGTTTATTTATTTTTCATTGTTTTCAGGCCAAGTCCCAAAAGAGTATAAAAGGAGATATCTCTTGGTAATACCTTGCTTTAATTCACATTTACTACCCAAACCTTTTCTTTTAACATGGAATATGATACTCAAACTATTATATATAATAAAAATAGTTCTTAATGCTGGTAATCATACTGAGATTTTGAAAACCGTGATTCCTTCCTCACCAGTTCTTGGGGCTGATATTTAGACTCACTCTAGAAATCACAGGGCAAGACATTTTCTTCAAAATACGCATGTTTATGGTTACCTTCCTAAGGATTGTTAAGGAAATTCGTGTATATGCTTAACTTTTTTATATGGCAGCTTTTACCCAAAATTACCCAAACTAACATAATATTGTATTCTGTTATACTCTTAATGGGGATTGGGGAGCCCTTTTAATCTTTTTAGGTTTGAGGCAGTCCAGTAATGCCCCTAATAGCAAGTACAGTATCAGTCAGTTGGCTTATCTAGCAGTCAAAGTTTAGCACCTTTTACTTTTTAGAATATCTTGAATGTGGAAATGAATAAAACACCACCAAGCATAATGAAGATCGTTATCACAAAACCGATGCACTTTACTGCCTAGGAGAGGAACTATTCTCTTTCTTCTTAGGCACATAAATCTAATTTTACACATTATATAACAGTTATCTGATTTCCCCTGGGAAGCTTGAGTTCTTCTGTGGATTACAATTAATTCAAACCAGGAAACAAGCATAGACAGCAAGCTAGAAACAGAGAAAGGTAAGAAATAAACTTTTACGGTAGAGCTTTAGGACATAATGACAAAAGATAGAGCAACCATAAGTAAAGAAGAAGAAGCACCCGACTGTATAAACAAGACACTGAGGGAATTAAATGAATTGATAAGTTGAGTCTTATTTTCTTGGATACCTTTTAGGAGCATCGAACTGTTATACCACATAGGATAACTGATATTATTAAAATATATCCTGAAACAAAAACATTAGGCTAAATTATGTTCAGAATTCTCTCTTTTTTTTTATTGTGCTTTAAGTGAAAGTTTACAGTTCAAGTTAGTTTCTCATACAAAAATTTATACACACATTGTTTTGTGACCCTAGTTGCTCTCCCTATGCTGTGGCAGCACACTCCTTTCCACCCTGGATTTCCCATGTCCATTCAACTAGTTCCTGTCCCTTTTTGCCTTCTCATCTCGCCTCCGACAGGAGCTGCGCATTTAGTCTCATGTATCTACTTGAGCTAAGAAGCACTCTCTTTGCAAGTATCATTTTATGTCTTATAGTCCAGTCTAATCTATGTCTGAAGAGTTGGCTTCGGGAATGGTTTCAGTTCTGGGCTAACAGAGTCCAGGGGCCATGTCTTCCGGGTCCCTCCAATCTCAGACCATTAAGTCTGGTCTTTTTACTAAGATTTCTTCATTTATTAAAATGGGTAGAATGTGAAGTACTTTTTTAGAAAGCGTTTCTTCAGAACTTACTATAATTAAATTTGAGTGGTTCCCAGTTCAGAACTTAATATAATTAATTTTGAGTGGTTCCCAGTTACTCTGTCTGAAAATTTTATTTAAATCAGAATGTCTGTTTTCCTAACCAAATATCTACTAATTAAAAATAAAAAAGTTATTTTTAGTTGTGTGGGGAAAAAAATGTGTTGATTTCTGACTACCTAATTATTCACCTTCGAATGCAGTTCCTTCAAGTTAATAACCTTGGAGTGGTTTGGGTTCCTATATAGATATGACAAGGAAGAGGCTACATTTTCTGAAATCAAAATCTTTTAAGAGAGTTAAAACTTAGTGTAATTACTAACATTTGTTTTGCACTTCAGTGTTTTATAACAAAATTTAATTCAGTTGGTATTTTTTCACGTAGATGAGTTTTAATACTTTACAATCAGCTTTTTTCCAGAAAGATATGTCTGTATTCTTTGGAACCTATCACTCGCTTTTCTAGCAAAATAGTATTTCAATACAGTAGAAAAGACTTTGCTGTCTTCTGTATGGCTGATCATTTGTTTATAGGTACTTTGCAGTGGGATGATAACTTTAGTTGAGACTACTGAGGTTTATATCTTCAGTTTATAAATGGAGTAAAAGGCATTACAGTTGTACTCAAAGAGAAATATGTCTTTTTAAAAGAACTTAGCAGAGGTATTCTTCATAATACATTAAAGACACTTCCAAACAAAATCTACCATAGAGCCTTATACACGGTAGGTGTTTAAGAAATATTTGTTGAATGAATGAGTGAGTGAACATCGTGGGTCGCTGTGAGTCAGAAGTGACTTGAAGGGCAGTGGGTTTGTTTTGTTTTTTTTTGTTTGTTTATCGTCACAGGAGCTTACAGGTGAAATCTCAGATTTCATTTATTTAAAAGATTCATTACTGGTAAATATTAACTGTTGTATACTGATTGTATTTTTTGTGTGTGTGTTCTGGGATGCAGGTGGCGATAAAAATAATAGATAAATCTCAGCTGGATGCAGTGAACCTTGAGAAAATCTACCGAGAAGTACAAATAATGAAAATGTTAGACCACCCTCACATAATCAAACTTTATCAGGTATGGCTTTAGCCTTACACTTCTTCATGCTTTTCACACTCAATTCTCTATTTTGAAGCAAAACGTTTCTCTTTTATGTTAGTTTTTATCTATAAATGAAGGATAATTATGTGTTTTTATTTAAGTTAAATACATCCATTTTTCTATGTTCAAATAAGAATATTAGGAAATCAAAAACTATTAGTAGCTTAATTTTAAGTTGTCTCTGAGACTGTAAGTTACTTATTTAAAAAGTTTTCATTTGTGAATTTTTGATCCCTGCTTAAACCTGATGGATTTTGGTGATGGTACCATTATGACAGTTTTGCTTATTTCAAAAAAAATTCTGTTTATGTTTTATGAAATATAAAGGCTAAAATGTTAGTGTACTAATAACTTTTTAAAACCTGGAACCAAATCTTATATTTTTGTTTGGGTTTTTTTATCAGGTAAAATAAATGAACCATTTTTTTTTTTAATCAGCATTAAGATATAATTCATGTAAATTAAATCACCCATTTAAAGTGTAAGCCATGTTTTTTGAAAGGAAGATTTTCTCAAAATTTTAAAGAGTAATCTATCTTAAAAAATGATAATATATATGATACAAAATTCTGTTAATATGTAGAATTTTTCCATTGGAAAACTATAAAATCTGAAATGTTACAGTGTGCTAGCCTATGAAATTGATCTCCAAAGTAGGACATGTGCACCCAGTGGTGTGCTGGACTCTGCTTGTATTGGTGTGTGAGACTCAGCTGTTAAATTTTCAGTAGCTTTGCAAGCCAATTAACATCACAAAATCAACGATGGTGGAAGCATTTACACCACAGAAATCGGCCTACAAATCAAGGCCTTTTTTTTTTCCTCTCAGAGAGCTAGTTTTTTAGCACATCACTGTGTGCACCCCAGGGGGTTAGCACAAATGTCCTGGGGTATAAGAAGAAAATATTAGAACTTTTGATTGTATTTATTTTTAAAAATTTATCTTTGTGTGCTTTTTATAGTGTATTTATACAGTGGCACATGTATATGTCTGTGTATTTATACATACATATATGTGTATGTATATATACGTGCATACACACATATATATTTGGCTAAACAACTTTTTATTGATAGAAATTTGCAATTAAAAAGATGTGGGGAAAAAAAAAAGATGTGGAGGCTTATGATATACCTGCTAAGAATGGAAGACTGTGGTGTGCCTCTCAAAACCTTTTGTAATGTTCTGAATTACACAGGGCCTCCTGGGTCAAATTTATGTCAGAGTCTTTCTGCCTTTAAGCTTTTTTATTTATTAATTTTATTTTTAAATTTCTAAAGAAGATACTATCAAGAATGAATCATATCTTTGGAAGTCTCTGATAAACCATAAGCCAAAGTAAGGATAAAACTGCTATGATTCACATGATAATTCTATCTTTATTTGAACTAAATAATCAGTTAAAGTTGATTTACTATTTGACTTGTTTTTAGGCCCATATTATGGGTAGCTCTTAGTTTTTTGGCCTGATAAGAGTAATTCTAAACTCACATTTTAGAGTAAAATTAGTTTTTAGCCTTTCAGTAGATAACAGTTGAAATTTTACATAATTAGCATGTGCTAGAGGTGCTTCGGAAGAAAGGCCCGGTGATCGATCTGCTTCCAAAAACTTAGCTGTTGAAAACCTTGTGGAGCACAGTTCTACTCTGACACGGGGTCACCATGAGTCAAATCAACTCCACAGGACTGGTTTTTTAATATGTAAAAAGGTAGATAGACTATTATAGAGAAGCAGTCTAAAAATCTCATCCTAAATGTGTAAATTTATTTCCTTTCTAAATTGACCTGTATTTAGTATAGTTTGAAAAATCAAATTTGTGACAATGACTTACTTTCTTTCTGAACCGAAAAAAAATAATTTAAAAAAATCGTACAACAATAGAGCTATGAAGAAACAATGGTTTAAAATTACAGGCAGTCCCCGGGTTATGAACGAGGTGCTTTCCTAACTGTGTCTTTAAGTCGAAATCTGTAGGTAAGTCCAAACAGGTGTATATGGTTCTTATTTAGCCTTCCTTTAGTGCAAGGAAAGGAGCCCTGGTGGCACAGTAGTTAAAGTACTTGGTTGCTAACCAAAAGGTCAGAGGTTCAAGCCCACCAGCCTCCGCGTGAGAAAGATGTGGCAGTCTGCTTCCGTAAAGATTTACAGCCTTGGAAACCCTATGGAGCAGTTCTTCTCTGTGCTACGGGGCCGCTATGAGTCAGAATCAACTTGGCAGCAATGGGTTTTGGGTTTGGTTTAGTGCAAGAAAAGGCTCGAGGCCTTTTCAATGATTTAAAACCTGCACATGCAGCAAGTGACGGTGATTGTGATGAAGAGTTTGTTGCCAAGTAGGGGTTCATTCAACAGTTACAAAGTGAGGCAAATTTACATAACATTGAAGGGAAATATGAGTTACCTGTAAATCGGGTGTTTGTACCCCGGGGACTGCCTGTACGGTACTTTGTAACAATATTAAAGTATTGCAGGAGGAACATCACATTGTGCCAGATTAGCTAGGTTACAAGCCAGATAAACTAAACACTTTTCCTCAGTTATTCTTTTCTTAATCAGGGTTTACCATGATAACACAGCTATAAAAGTCAGTGAGGGGGTGTTGAAGGTTAATCTTCAAAACTCCTGTTATCTATATTAGTGCTTCTCAGTTAAATTTGCCTAGAAATCACCTGAGGATCTTGTTAAAATGTAAATTATGATTCAGCAGGGCTGGGTTAGGGCCTGAGATTCTGCATTTCTTTTTTTTATTTAAATGTTTTGAATATTAATTTGTTGTTAAAATTTAACATAACAACTGTCTTATGCTACACATAGCTCTGGTAGATATTTTTTAGTAGATTGTGAACTTTCTAAAAACTTTTATCAACTGCTGCTCAGTGACTGAAATAGGTTTTGTAATCCTAGCCTTAAGATCATCCTAAGAATGAGGTTTTGATACATACATAACAGTTTTGACAAGACCCCACAGGAAAGAATCTAATGGAAATAGATTAAGTGGTCAAAGTGTCCAAATAAGTAGTCCCCCTATGCAAATCCACTGGTCTGAGAAAGGGTCATCCAGAAACTATCACCATAAAAAGTTAAAAAATTAAAAATTTACTGTTCAAAAGGCAAAAAGCAAAGTAAATGTAGAAGAATTTAAATTAAAAGTTTAAATAATTAAACTTCCAAATGATGTTTTTATAATTTCATAGTATTTGTACTTCTGAAGTTATTAACATTTAAGAGCACACTGAGACCTTTGGGACGAACTGTATCAATGGGAGGGAGAGCCAAGATTGAGATTCTGCATTTCTAATGGACTCCTGAGCAGTGGTGGTGGGGCTGCTGCTAGTTCATCTACCACACTTAGAATAGCAGGGATTTAGATTGTTCACAAAAGTGTTAACATAAGGATGTTATCAGCCTTGTGAATTTAGCCAGCTTCTGAATTGTTCATAACTTCAATTCTTTTATTAGTAGTTTTAATTTAGAAGCCCCATTAAACGTTGGTAAATCCTGGTGGCATAGTGGTTAAAGCTACGGCTGCTAACGAAAATGTCGGCAGTTCAAATCCACCAGACGCTCCTTGGAAACCCTATGGAGCAGTTCTACTGCGTCCTATAGGGTTGCTGTGAGTCAGAATCGACTCGACAGCAATGGGTTTTTGGTTTTTTGTTTATTAAATGTTGTTGGAAATTACAATCCTTTCCTGCCAGACTAATATGGAATTATTTATCAATAGGTAATGGAGACCAAAAATATGTTGTACCTTGTGACAGAATATGCCAAAAATGGAGAAATTTTTGGTAAGTTTTTTTCCTTCTATTAATTCTCCTGTTTGTTTAATAATTGGTAACATGAGTTAGACATTTTTAAGCATTAGAATATAAAAAAATACAATAAGCTAAAAAACATGGATTATAATTTATTCTTGTATTAATGATATTAAAGGCACTGCTGAATCCTCTCATCTGTGTGGAAGACATTGGCAAATCAAAAAAACTTTCATATTGCAAGGGATGTTTTCTCTCCTTTTATCTTCCTTTTTACCTTTCTTTCCAGGGGAACAAATATTTATTGAGTTCCTATGTCCCAGGCATTGTACTAGGTACTGGGGATATGTGGTGACCTAAATAAACACTGTCTTTGTGGATCTTACAATTTAGTACACTCTGAACTAGCTGTAAGACCTTGGGCAAGACACTAAAGCTGTAGGACCTCTTTGGCACTCAGTTCCTTTACCTCTAATTAAGTATTTGATAAATTGGTCTTTACAAACCATTATAATCCTTATAAATTATAGATAATCTGTTGGTTCTAGCCAGGGACGAATTACCCAATGAACAAGGTATGCACAGGTTTACTTGTGCTTATTTACTAATCTGTAACACTGCAGATTAGTAAGTAAGCACAAGTAAGCTCGTGTGTACTTTGCTTACTGGTTAATCCACCCCTGATTCTAGCTTTTGTCTTTTTTTTTGGTGCTCTGTAGAGCCAGAACACTGTAGGCACTGTAGGTAGTCTAAATAATTTTGTTCTTAACCTAAATATAAGTCTAAAATTGGTTTTTAAACAGCTTTATTGGGGAATAATTTACATATAATAAATTGCACATATTCTAAGTATACAATTTAATAAATTTTGACACATGAACACACACACATCTATGAACCATCACCACATTCAACATATCCATCACTCCCCAAAGTTTCTTTGGACCCTTTGTAATCTCTCTTGCCTCTGCTACGGAACCCCCTTCCACAGGCAACCATTTACCTATTTTCTGTCACTATAGATTAGTTAGTATCTTCTAGAGTTTTATATAGATGTAATTATGTACTATGTAGTCTCTTTTGTCTGGCTTCTTTTAGAGTAATTATTTTGAGATTCATCTATTTTGTGGCATGTATTGATATATTTCTTTTTATTGCAAGTAATATTTGATTGTATTGATATACCACAATTTGTTCATCCATTCATCATTTGAGTTGGTTTCAGTTTTTGGCTATTATACATAAGCTGCTGTGAACATTCATGTACAAGTCTTTAATTTACCACAGTGTACCTTCAATTAATGTTTACTACTTCACATATAAGAACTTTACAGTAATCATACTTCTATTTTGCCTCTCCTGGCCTTTCTGCTCTTGTTATACATTTTACCTATTTTATAAGACACAATACAGTGTTAATATTTTTGTTTAAACAGTCTATTATCTTTTAAAGAGATTTCAGTATTAAGAAAAAAATCATGTATTTACCAGTGTAGTTACCATTTCCGCATTACTTTGTGTAGATGCATATTTTCATCTGGGGTCATCTTCCTCTGGCCTGAAGCATTTTCTTTAACATTTCTTGTAGTGTGGATCTGCTAGTGATAAAATCTTTCAGCTTTTATATATCTAAAATAGTCTTTATTTTGTCTTCATTTTTTAAAAATATTTTCGCTGGATATAGAATTTTCGATTGACAGCATTTTTCTTTCAGTGCTTTAAAGATGTTGCTCCACTGTCTTCTCATTTACATTGTTTCTGACAAAGAAATTTCCTGTTGTCTTTTTCTTTGTTCCTCTGTACACAATGTGCCTTTTTTCTCTGGCTCCTTTAAAATTTTCTGTTCATCACTGGTTTTGACAATTTGATTATGATGTGCCTTGGTATGATTTTCTTCATGATACTTATGTTTTGGGTTCATTGAGCCTCTTGGCTCAGTGAATGTATAACCTACTGGTGTAGATATGGGAGGAAGGAGGTGATCCAGGAAGAGGGAAGAGTAAATGCAAAGGCCTTGAGGCAGCAGTGTGGTTGACGCGTTCAAGGAATAGCAGGAAGGCCAGTGTAGTTGGAGAGAAGCAAGCGAGAGGGAAAAGCGAAAGTGACCAAGGGGAAAGAATAGTAGGGAGATGAGGTCAAAAAGGTAAATGAGAGGCAGGAATTGAGGAGATCTTGTGGCTTTGTAGACCAGTGTAAGCACTTTGTCTCTTACCTTAATAAAATAAGAGAACTATTAGAGGAGTTTGAGCAGAGACGTGACTGGACCTAATTTGGTATTTTAAAAACATCACTCTGGCGTGTTGAGAATAGAGTATGGTGAGCAAGGGTGGAGATGGGAGACCAAGTAAGATGCTGTTGTAGTAGTCTAAGTGAGAGGTAATAATGACTCAGACCAGGGAGGTAGCAGTACAGGTAGTGTTAAGTGGTCGGATCCAGAATATATTTTGAAGGTAGAATCAATAGGGGTTTTTGACAGATTAAGACCACTAAGTAGTGCATATAGTTGGGGAAGAGACCAAGATCAGACCACTTAGGCCCTCAACCATTAAAAGATAGGGAAAAGAGGAGTAGCCAGCAGAGGAGAAAGAGAAGGAAGGACCAGTGAGATGAGAAGAAAACTAAGAATGCAAGGTTCTGGAAGCCAGGTGAAGAAAGTATTCTCAGGAGGAAGGAGTGAACATCTATGTCAGATGCTGCTGGTATGTCAACAAAGATGAAGAATGACAATTAATCATTGTTTCTGGCAGTTGGTAAGAGCAGTTGTGGTGGAGCTATTGGGCCAAAAGCTAGAATGAAGGGTTTTAAAAGCAAATGAAAGAAGAAAAATTGGAGAGAGAAGAATAGACAACTTTCAAGGAGTTCTACTGCAAAAAGGGAGAAAAGAAATGGGGAAGTATTTAGTAGGGGCAGTGGAATCAAGAAAAGGATTTGTTAAGATGAGAGAAATAACTATGTGTATCTACTTAACTCTTTGAGCCTCAGTTTCCTCATCTGTAAATGGGGTTTATGCCTGTTTGGTAGAGTTGTAAAGCACCTAGCCTAATGTCTAACATATATTAACTACTCAAATGCTTCTCTTTCCCCCTCCCTATTCTTTGGGAGACAATGTTCTAAGCACAGTTTTTGTTTGTTTTTTGATGAGATGATTATCTCTGTTTCTGAAGATTGGTTTTAGAGTGGAAATTTTCTTGTAAACTTTTCTTAGGAATGTGAAATTATAAAAGATAAGCTTAAAAAGGAAATAGTAGCTTGCAAACTTTTTTTTTTTAAGTCTTCACCCATTGGAATATTTTTAAAGCTTCAGGCTGTAATTTTGTAGGTAAACTGGAAATGGCTATTAATATTAGCTGTCTTTTCTCTGAAAATGGAATATTCTAAATTGCTATTTCTTGTTAAGACCTTTGATACAGGTTTGTATTACAGTGCTTTACATAAATTGAAGTATAATTTGGGGGCTTTCTTAATTTTGCTATTTTTAATGTTTACAGTTTATTTCTAATGTGAGATATCTAGGATAAATGTGCAGTTTAAGTTTGGAGAAGAAGAGTATGATGTAGATAGAAAACTTGGATGGTGAATGCTAGTTATCTTATTTTCTACTCTGGTACAGTTACTTTCTTGAGCACTGAAGAACATCAGAAACTGATTTTCATTTAAAAAGATGAAACCTTTGGATAGTCTTCACTGTTTTAGAATGGAAGAATCTGAATTTAAAGGGAATTTGGAGATCATCTAGTCAGTCCACTTTATTTTTATTTTATTTGACTTTGTCATGCAGCATATAGCCCAACAGAACTCGTTATCTGTTCTCACAAAATTATTTCTCCCATTTCCTGATTTGTCTTCATCATTTATAAAGGCATCTAAGCTAGGAACCTTGGTGATTTTTCTCCCTCATCCTTCATTTCAGATGAGGTTTTAAATTCTGCCCATTCTGCCTTTCTAAATACCTCTCAAAGAAGTCCCCTTCTGACCATGTTGTTGTTGTTGTATGCCATCGAGTTGATTCCGACTCACAGTGACCTCATGTGACAGGTTTCCTAGGCTATAATCTTTATGAAGCAGATCGCCACATCTTTTCCGCTGTGGAGTGGCTGGTGGGTTCGAACCGCTAACCTTTCAATTAGCTCTTAACCATTGCACCACCAGGGCTCCTGTTTTCTTCTTAACCACTGCTAATGCCTCAGTTCAGAGTCCTTCTTGTCTCATCTTTATTATGCAATCATTTGCTAGTTACTCTGATACTGCCTCCAGAATTATCTTTCTAAAATACAAACGTAAACATGTTATCTTTATTTTCTGAGATTTCAATAATAACTGTTAATTACTATGAAAATAATTTGTAAAACTGGAGTTCATATGCCATTATGAAATAAGAATGGTTATCAGTGAAAGGATTGCTGCTTAGTTTAGCTCCTATACTTCATTACCTTTGGCTGTTAAATATCCCTTGCCCTTAATTTTCCTTTATAAGCAGAGTTCTCTTTACTGCTCCAGACTTCAGAGCTGTCTTGATGTGTACACACACAGCAGTCCTGCTTTAATTTTCAGTGTAGTCAGTGCATATGGGGAGAGTTGGGAGTCCTGATAGGGCTGAGAGAAAAGAAAGCAAGTAGTGACCAAGAAAGGTTAGAATAAGGAACCTAACAAAGAAGTAGGTGGCAGGCGTGGCAGAAAACAAAAGTCTAAACAGGCAAAAAATTGTTGACTGTATGTGGAATATATCTGGAAGAAAAGACATAATAAACTGTAGATTCAGGTTGGTACAAGCAAGGAACAGTCTCGTAGCCAGCCAGTTTCTGACATGGGGCCCATGAGGAGAGTAAAATAGAAGTGAGAAGATGCAGTCCAATGAGCATTGATCAGGTAGTGAAAAACATGTGTAAGATTTTAAGTGAGTTTTGAACCCAAAATGTTTTAAGTCATTTGAACTCTTAGTTGGAAAAGAACCATGTAAATAGTATTGAACTGTGTATTTTGAACTATATATTAACATTTATCTTTCAGGTTTGTAATTTTGGAGTTACTCCTTA